ACTGGACACAGTCAACACCAGTCCTGGCCTTGCCATTGGCTACTGGTGCCTGAGACATCAATGTAGCCTTCTGTGCACAAAAAATCCCTCCCGCGGGTGCCTTCTGTCTCCCCCCAACAACCCGGGATTCGATCTCTGAGCACAAACCAGACTTAGACGCTACAAGCCTGACTTATCTGACTAAAAAGGAGACAGACGACGTTAGGAGGGGCGTCGCGTATCACACCCCTCCAGGCGCACAGGTGGGTTCTCAGTTGCACCAGTTTAATCCACATGTAATGCCCGGTCTTAATTGTCCAGAGGCGCGGGTCCGTAAAACAGGGCGACACCCCCCAGGAAGGCGACGATAAGAGACAAAAACTGTCAAATGTAAACAGCCAATCCTTAAAACGGTTTTCAGTAAGGCAATGTTGATGGAAAAAACTTGCGATACACACCGAGAAACACCACACTGAAGGGGGGAGGCGGAGAATAGTTCAGCACAGAAAACATACAAATGTTGAAAGTGGGCCGGTAAAAAAGCGTGGAATCCTAAACGCATTGCCTCTAGCATAAACTATACAACGCATAGTCAGAACAATCGGTGCTGGTGTATGACAGTAGTCTGATTCAAAGATCAGTGGTCAGATAAGCGAGTATATGCTGACGTCCAGACAAGTACTTACGAGGAAATTCCCGCCTACCCATCCCACGCACACAAAATAAATGGTATGCGGACACAAGCATGGGAAACGGAAGAAAAGGTGTCGCCGAAGAGACTTGAAATCTTCACTGGGTTGTCTTCAGTAGAACACATATGAGCGAAAGTCAAAACGCCAAGAGCTAACTAGCGCTTATCAGCAGATGCGCAAAAATATCAATAAGGCGTGCGTGCACAGCAAGAAATCTCCAGGCTTGGGATTTCGTCGAGTTAAGGTCATTTCTCCCCAATACCAGTAGCATTTTCGAAGGCTCAGTGGGACACCCACTTCCACGGACTCCCAGGGGCTACACTGATTTCTATGAGACTCAGCGACAGGATGCGAAAGTAGGCGTGCCAGCCCAAAGAATATGGCCTTACATCAAACCAAACATGTAACAGCCATGTACCGTAGACTCGATAGCTAACTTGTGCCTTTCGTAGCACACTACGGGCTATTGGAAGTGGTCAATTATTTCATGAAAATACTACTGAATGATAGCAAGTAGCATATTATTGTGACCGAAGTTCCGGAACTCATGGCACCGGCAGTAATTTTTCCAATTGTCGACGACAATAGATCCGAACGTCCGAATATTTATGAGTGAATGCTGAAGTGATACGTACTTTGACAACGGTGAGGTGTGAGGGAAGCACCTCCGGTAATTACCAGTTTCATGGGTACGTGGCTTTGTTGAAAAGGGGCCCGCACAATCGAAAAAAAGATGTCAAAGGAAGGCTGAATCCCAAGAAGCTTGACTAGATAGCAGTGTTCGTAAGTGGAGACAAGAACACCGATGTGGATTCTCTTCCGCCTTTCTGCGTTGGGATAGATAGAAGTTTTATTTCTACGTCGCTAAAGAAAACTGAAAAAGCAAGGCCTGAGCTCGGCTCAAATTAACATTAAATAAGCAAATCTAAAAGTGCGCTTCGGTTCCTCGTAGTCTACAATAAAGAGGATTCAGACCATAAAAATTACAGACAATTTAACGTGCTCGAGTCCGCTATAAAATTGCTACTGAATTATAACAAGTAACAACGACGCACGAACATTTAATAAATGCTCGGCAATCTGCAGCACATCACACTTTTAGACTAACGCGAAAGTTCATGAAGCATTTACATATGCGTTACTAGGCGGAGTTGTCGAAATCATCACGCCAATAAAAGCTCGTACAAACGGGAAGACTAAACTATATGTAAACAAGCAGAGCAGGCAGCAATCGAAGGCAATGGGAAATCCAGGAATGACAGCGACAGGATCGAAGATGAAAACATGCGGCCAAACCCAAGGTCGTTCATTATTCACTAGAGTTCCTTTAGACTAATTATACGACAACGGTGGGAAACTTTACGAATAGCAGTCATCAGTGAGATCTTACTTACATGCACGAGCAGCAGAGAAGCCTCCCTGGTTAACAGAGGAGGAAACTAAATTGCCTTTAGAGTATACAGAACATTAACTACTTAGGGCAAGCATCCGCATTCGTGAGCACCGAGTAGAAGGCTTGATAGCTTTCCGTTGCTGAGGGAGCTCACCTTGGATGAGGCAACCGCACGGCAGAGATTGCAGACGACTTAAGGTTTGGCAATGTTAGTATAGAGTTACAGTCAAGAACATAGCGACAAAGAAGGCCCTGAGAACCCTCCACGAATAACTCAAACCTAATCAGAACAAACTAAGCATGCACTCTGAATCCTCCGTTGATGAACTCTCATCGATCGCTAGCGGAACGCACATATCCCGTTCGTCTTGGGGCTCACTCTCATGCCCCACCGACAGCCACACAGCGCATAGTAGTGTGGGTAGATGAACATTGCCGGCAAATACAACGGAGACTTGAATGGTCATTTCTGGTTCATCAGCCAGTCATACTCAACCCCAGGTGGTGCACCAACCGAGGCTCGCACCGGCGAGGGGTTGATTAGAAGTGCAATGCTCTAACTATTGAGCCATGGACTCATTGTCTTGCCGGTTTAGATCAAGTCGTCATGGAAAATCAAACAGTCACCCTCGAAGTCAACCGCATATATGAGACCAAAGAGGGAGGGAAGCAGGATTGGAATACTGGGATACAACACTGTAAGGCCCAAATAAGCAAGAGGGGAGAGGGTGGCAGAACATTTTCCACGCATCGTCAGTGGTTTGGAAAACACTTATACCAACCCAAAGGACAGGTGATTGTCGGTAAGTAAATAAGTTGTTACTTAGAAGGGAAATTGCAGAGAAAAGAATGATTATACCCTTCAATATAACTGCCTAGGAGAGTTGCAAATACAAGTACTTTGGAGCAGATGCCCCAATCACCTTTTAAAACAACAATGAGAGCACGCATTTATAATAAATGGAACTTTGATAGTTCACAATTCCTCAAACAGGGCACAGAGTAAATGTGAATCGTTATAGCAAAAACAGAACTGCATAGGTATCAGAAGGGAACTTTACTTACTGCCAAAGCGACAAGAGGACAAAAAATACAGACAGAAGTAAACATTGCGGTAAGGGGACGTAAAACTAGGTAGAAAACAAGAGGGAGTCATCAAAAGACGCATAATCGGTCTCCATACTCTCTTCAACCTCAATGGTACGAGTTATTTCCTCGAAGAGGTGGTTCATGGCAGCAGAATTTGGATAATGCTCAAGCGTGCGCAGAGAGCTAGAGGGAGGACTGAAAACAGAGGACGAAGTGGCGGCAACGTTGTGTGGAATGGAAGCAGACAGCTGGCCGCGAGTGGTGTCACCAAGACGTAAATTAGAAGCGACTGGATGATCTAGAGAGGGTAGGTCTTGGACAGTGGGAGGTAGAGGTTCACCCAAGTCAGAGATATTAATTGGAGAGGAGGCAGAGACATCATCGTATTCCTCCTCCCCCTCTTCCTCTTCGTCCTCCTCGACTGGGGTGCCAAAACTGGAGTGAGTAGTGTTCAGTTGGAGACGGCCTGAGCCAGAGAATCGAGCGGGTTGGCTGAGTGTCCGACTTGCCCGATTATCACGCGGTGTTGGGAGGGTTTGATCGAAATCCTGATAAACAAGAAGGTGTAAATTAAGCGGACGTAAAACTTATAATGCACGCAAAATACTTATTTAGTGATGTGAGTCGGTTGGGGGTTGGAAAAGGACTGGAAGACAACTACGGGGTTGCATCAAATTGTAACTTAGTAAGTTGTGTGAAGGAATGCATGCACGTATTTATGACATGTAAAACGGTGGAAGGTGGTGGACGCAACTGTTTAGGAGTTGTTCGAAAATAGCAACTTCCCTGGAGTTTCTCAAAGATTTTCTGTAAAATAAATTGACAGATAAGGATCTGAGCTGCACATGACTGATCCACACTTTAACTTACGGCAAACAACAAACAGAGACTCTGCAAACATCCAAACAACGCACATGCAAGCTGTGTTGTAATTCAGTCCACAAAACCGTACGCATAAAATTGCCTGACACAATTAAGCCACTATCCAAATAACCTCTATTGGTCGAGTAAGCAGTCTGAAACGGTAGCACAGCTACTTTTCTGTGAATGGAATCACCTATCCAGAAACATAGATAGAAGAAATGGCAGGCTAAGGTGCTTATACATGGAGAGTTACGGGGTGTTTGAATAAACAAAAGCCTCGAATTCAGTATTTATTGCATTAACACTGACCGAGAGCTGTTTTCCCGGCAAAGAAGTTATTTTCATCCATGTAAGGTAGAATAGGTGGTGACTTCATTTAATTCTCCATGTTGTTGACCACTGGAAAGAGCATGGTTGGAAAACAGATCAAGTCGATCCGAAAGCGGATCACAGAATGGACGCACCTTAACGTCACGAAACAACTGATGATTAATATTCAGTATCTTTAAAGTTCAAGCATTCTGGTGCTCCTATAAACACGACAAATTTAAATTAAGATGGGCAAAGGGGTATACTAAAGTTTCTTGGGCCTATAGCTACAGCACTGAGAAATTGTAGTAGCCAAAGTCGACATGCATTGAATATTAGGGAATTTGACCCACACTTTTACGAACTGCGCAAGAATGAAGGAAACGTGAACAACCAAAAATAAAGAACGCACTCAAATAAACGGTAAGGAGTTAGCAGCAAGGCGAAGAAATGGATGACAGTCACAGAGGACGAAAAAAGTATAATAGTATGGGAGAAACTGGACAAAACTAGTCAATGTTCAACTATGTTCAGACTGACAGGACTGATAGTTATTTTTCAAGAAGGATTCAAATAGTATTCACAGCTTACGGATGACGTTAACTGTGAAGTCACGTGCTGAAGAGAGGTTTCGGCCTCTGCAATGATTCGCTCTTCATCAAAGTTGTCTGATTCTGTAAAGATTGATGACGAAAAGTTGCACGGGTGAAGTCGGGGAAAGTACAAGCTGGAAGAAAACATGCTAATCCCAATTGGAACGACGCTGATCTAAGGGCGAGACTTCGTTTACTCTGGAATCGCCAGTGGCGAAGTTGTAGACGAGGAATCCAGCGCACAAAGTGAAACAGGTCACACCAAAAACCATAAGAGGTTTATTCTACAACAAAAATAAAGATATACAAAGTGTCAGCCTACTGGTTTAACAAAAAGCTCAAAGTTGAGCAGCCGGAATAAAGAAGTTGATGTAACAGAAGGAACTTTTCTCTCTGACATAGAGACCAATCTTGCCGTTACCTCAGGCAAGTAAATCTTTGCCTTTACCACCCCAATTTCAGCTTATTAAAATCGTAATGGCAGCTCCGGTAATCATTTTCCAATTCTCTGTTACTATGGTTTAAAGGAAAATACATATCTTATTCGAAAGATGGAGCTCTGCATCTAATGACTAAGTACCACATGGTAACCACCAAGAGATTATTGATGTAATAGCTCGTATTTATGTCGGCAGGCCTTGCAATTGCGGGTTACTGACTAAAAAGGGTCTACATGCGTTATTCAGTCAGTTTATTTGAGAAAAAATAGGCTTACAACTTTGAAATCCGTACTTTTCACGTAAAAATCTCAAGAATTAGAAACAATGTAAAGAAAATACAGTCCGGTGAATGTAGACAGAGTCCCATAGTGCACCACGTTTTTAATAAATTATTCACATGGATCACGCATGCGGATAACAAGTCGATGTTTGAATGTCTCCACAGATTGAGACATTGTAACGGCGGGCATTCGAATCCGGGGTGACTCAGGAAAGGGG